CATGTAATTGATGCACATAAGTGAGTCTGTTTAGATTGACTCATTGGTTAATCCTTTTAGCAGGTTTGTGGTGTGAGTCTCAGTGGTGTCCATACATATAGCTGTGTTTGCACACAGATGTCACACATCCACACATCTCTCAAATGCTGCTCTCAAAGACTCAAGGCTGTGTTTGGAGAACGAGCTGAAGCAGGAGGTAATGCAGATGTCCTTTACATCATCTTTCAACATAACACGTCTATATAACAACAGACTGAATTCGGAATCTTGAGAGATTTTTGAAATGTCAAAATATATAGGAATACATTTAAATTCACACAATCTGCAGGTTTTGAGGTTGTTCTCAAAATATGTGAGCTTGTAAAGGGCAAAACTGTATGAAATGAAGTAAATATCAATGTATTGTTATTATATTGCTTACAGTATATTACAAAATGATCCATGCAAATGTACAAATCATAATGTAAAAAAAAAACGTATAGTCACCTTGAAACAGAAGTTGTGATAGTCTTTTTTTGAAAATCTGAATAAAACAGTTTCTTAGAACAAGAACAAATGTAGGGAAGGACTTGATTTTGTCCATCAGGAATTGATTGGTTAGTTGGATGGATGGTTGTAGTTGGCTATTGGTGGATCTCATGTGAGTGACAGGTTGCCACACCAGTAAACACAGTAGAAAAGAGTAGGGAAGATATTTTGATTCAAGATTATGAAGGTAATCAATGATTTATAACAAACAATATCTTACTCCTTCAGTGAACCATGAACCAGCTTTATAGTGTCATGTAAAGCACACACCCAGCCTGAGGTGCATAGACATATACACTAGACGTCACCTTGGCTACGGCAGTTCATTGGAACGAATGCGTCAATAGAGCCGCCATCTTGAAACAGGGGAGCCCCTCCACTTTAATGCATCAGCGTCAATGTAGTAGACACAGGTCTAATGGAAATAAAATCACCATAAATCATCATGAATGCGATTTTTCTTGGTTTTTTTTGGTTTGTTCCAACGGTCAGACATGTATTTATCATTGATTCCAGAAATAATTTTTTTTTTTTAAACATTCTTCCTAGTTCAGATTTCATCCGTGAACATCATACGCTGCACAAAAGTCCGCCACCATCAATGAATTCGAAGTAAAGGCAGAGATAGCAGCGTTACCTAGCTACTTCCTATGACAAGACCCCTGTTCCAAGATGGCGGCGGTTTTGACGCATGCTTAGAACCCCAAGGTGAGGTCTAGTGTCAGGTCAGGTCTATGCCTGAGGTGTAGCAGCCATTAAACCTGATATTTACAATTTCTGCAAACGTGATTATCGCTGACACTTTATTAGAGTGTTATGAGTGTTTTACAGGTGCTGCTATGTGGTTGCTAGGGTGATCTGGGTGGTTGCTAGGTGGTACCCAAAATTGAAAGAGTGCTCCTCAAGTCTCTATGACATTCTGCATCCCATATATTTACGGTTCTTTTCCTCCTAATAGCCAGTGTAGCATACGTCTTTTTGTCGGATTATCAAGTATTTTGTTTTTCTACATATCGTTGTGGTTCATCTAGCTGGTTAGTTTGATCCATGGCTTAAAAGACTTTTTAGAAATCCCTATAAAAAAAAAAAAATCCAAAACCAAGGCAGCCTGAGACGTTGCCATACACTGCACTCTACAGTAGTCCAACAGCACTGTGACTAGTTTGCTAGTTTGTATCACTACGCTTGTCTGTTTGTGCGTTCCAGACACACAGTTTTAGGTGGGGATTTTCCAATGACTCTTTCTGAAGGTTACATCATTGCAGCAGTAGTTTGCGACAGGTGACTCAATTAACAGATTCATTCAAAAGCACTGATTCACTCAGCACTGAGAGAGTCATTGAATCATTCATGCAACTGATTCATTTAAAACGCCAATTTATTGAACAAAACAAGTGACAGTTTTTATGACTCATAGAATCATTTACTAATCATTAATCATTTAGAACAAAATACATTAGTTAACTGTCACAAAAAGTGTACAATTTTGTTCACAAGTCTGGCTTACCATTTCACTGTGAATTTCAATCCTTAGTGAGGACGAAAGGTTTCCACATGACGATTTTGCATGTAGTTCAAAAGAAAGCTGCTTGGATTTAAAATGTCTTATCTGTGAAAGGTTGCTTTATTCATAAATACGCAAAAGTTCTCTCATCTGATCACACTTTAAGGTTGTAGTCTGAGCAACAGCGCTCTTGCTCTTGTGATACACTTAATTATATGTCGGTATTTATTATCAATTTATTAGCTTCAGAAATCCCTCTCTCACATCTCTTTCACGTGTCAGGGCTAATAATAGTAATGTGTCCAGTGAACCGTTGCATATAATGGCTGTAACAATATCAAAGAGTCTCTTTGCTGTACCTTCTCTAACTGCCAGTGGTGAGATGTCAAGCTGAGATAATGGAGGAGAGAAACGCTCTGTTCACTTGACCCCAATGTGTCATGCTGTGCACCTCAAACTTCCAACAATCTCCAGCAATATCAATGGGAGAAAAAGATCTTACACCGAAATGAGAGACACTTAGCACCAAACAGACAGGAGGTGTTAGAAGTGAGAATGAAAGAGACACGGAGGTTTCCTCGGTGTGTGTAAGGTATCATGGGTATTCTCATTATGGGAACAGATCACAGGAGTAGTTTCATGCCTCACTAATGAGGGAGCCGGTTCAGGGTATGAATTATTATAAACACCACATGTATCATTCAACTTTAGCTTTCTTTAACACCTGATAACACCTACAAAAAGAAAAACAAATTAATTAATTTTTTTTTTCAAATCGCTGCACATTATTCAAAAGAAAATATTTGATTTTACAATGTTTGATAATTAATTAATGATGGATAGAATGCCTCGACCTACTTTTTACCCCTTCTTCATATTTTCATTCTGAACTGTCAGATTAGAAAATTACATTTCATATTGACTTTTAATATGTATCATCATGCAAATGGCGTTTACAGCGTTGTATATTCTGTATGAAAAATGGCTGTAGCTGGTGCTATTAAGTTAACACCCAAACCCTCACAAGAACTAATACAGGGACAGTTGTGGACTCAGATTTCATGTAGTGTGTTGGCAATATTTTCTTTTACTTTGCATGATCTTTTCATGGGTTTCAATGACGAGGCCATCCTGTTCATTTTGGAATTTTGGCTAGACAAGGAATTATCTATAATATTTCAAAGCTTTAAGAAGCCCATAAAAAACCTGTAACAATGGCCTTTGAATACACCTGAAGCATTCTACCAGTAGATGCCAACATAATTGTTAAAGTTCCCCTGTGGTGAAAATCAAACTTTTAATGTTGTTTATATGTCTATATGGTGTTTCTAATGTGCTTTAAAGGGGTCATATAATGCAATTTTTGTACAAGTTAATATGAATCTTTAGGGTCTAAATGAAAACTTTGTAATATATTTTATTAAAAAATTCTCATTAGTATTGTAAGAAAGCCTTAATTTTACCAGGTCAAAAACAGCTCTGTTTTCAGCATGCCGTTTCAGTGCATATGCCTTTAAATGATAATGAGCTTCGCTGACTCTGCCCCGCTTTTCTGCGGGCGTTTAGACACATCACACGTGGAGTGTTGCCTTGACAACAGTTGAGCGTATATTTTGGAGAAAGAATGTCAGCGGAAGTCTCTGAGGAGTCGCACCCGAAACAAGATGGCGGCCGCAAAGAGGTTCGACTTGAACAGGACGTTTCTGAATTGTTGGTTAACACAATGTCATGTTAATCTATCGTTGTATGTACTGGCAGGGTAGAGTAGTGAGATACAAACGCCATGTGTTTACTAATGTAACGTTATAGGTTAGTTCGTTGACAGATTGATGTTACAGTTAAAGGTCGTGAACAACTTTTTTTTCACGATTTGCAAAGATTAATGTAAAGATTAATAAAACTTTACACTCACTTCTTCTGGAGGTGCAGCAGGAACACGAATAGTTGGTACCGATTCCTTTTTCAAGAGCAGATTCTTAGCAAAACCAGCTCTATACTGACCCTCGTTTAAAAAAGCAGTCTGGTGAGAAATTATTCGTGCAAATATGAATGCACTGACGTTGCTCGTGGGGAATATTCCCTTTTGAAAACAAAACTCAGCCACTGCGTCTTCAGCGGTTCGGATTTAGGAACATCAAAATGAATGCTGTGTTCGTTATTACACCCAAGAACAAAACACCAAACCCGATCTCACGACCAAATCGTACGAAATCGACGCATGATTAAAAAGTGTCTAATTCGTACGACCTGAGGTTTTGCTAAATCGTACATATTTTACGAATTGGCCAATTCGTATGAATTCGTACGAATGACCTACCCCTTACCCCGCCCCTAACCATCACGTGGGTTTATACAACTCGTACAAATTCGTACGAGTGAGGTCGTACGAATTAGTACGAATTAGACACTTTTTAATCATGCGTCGAATTCGTACGAATTGGTCGTGAGATAGCGTAGGAACACCACAATCGCAGACACCATTCTGCTCCAGCGTATCAACAATGACAGATGCTGTGTTGAAACGATCTATCAACAATCGTGGGAGGGGCGTCTGTTTTATTGACGTCACAAAAACGAACGGAGGCAGGGGAAAACATATAAGGAGATTAAAACAAAAACACTGGATGGATTTTTATCATTATTGGATGTGCACAGGCACTGCCAAGCCACAATTCAGTACAATCAACTTGAAAAAGTGCATGTACCATTATACTATGACCCCTTTAAGACAAACCATGTGTAAATTCATAAGTCAACACCATTGACTTGGTCCTGGAATTATAACATCCATTAATTTGTCTCTAAACTAATTTTAAATATAACTTTTAAACCTTTAAGACACACCTACTGTCAGTTGGGAGGTTGTTAGTCAATGGTATTTGCTTCTATTGAAACCGTCAGCTTGCATTATTTCATAAAATCCTAATTATAGTTTACTATTGATATATACAAATCATAAAAACCACAATGTAGATACACCGATTTTATTCACAAACAAAATTGTAATCAAATAAGCAATGACTTCTCCTTTTCATCTTTTTAACACAATATGTCAACAAGATAAAAACATGTTTTAGAACATATATTGTACTCTATATATCTAGCATACGTTTATATAAAAATGTCAAGCTTTAAACAAAAAAGATAATATAGAGATATTAACCATGAATATTATTGCAATTCACAATGGATATGTAAATATAAACACTCCACAATAATGATAAATATATCTCAAGCATACATAAAGTCTGCATATATAAGGTATGAAGGTATTTTTAAAGCATTATAAATCTTTATTCCTTTATCTTTAAGTATTTATAATATTTATTAAGTAATGGTATCTATCTATTTTATCTATCTTAAATGTAATATTGATTAAATATTTTTCAAAATAAAGCCTAATTTCTAATGCATTTTATTATTTAAAGCTCTTTAATATACAAGTGATTATAAGATGTATTATTGGGCATAATACTAATACATTATATATACAGACTTCAAGTAAACTTTTATCCATCTTTTTACACTTGAACCAAAGCTTACTTTTACAATATCAATTCCAGAGAAAGAAAAAAAGAAACAAGCACGCCTGTGAAATTCATAACAGTGATAATAATGAAAAACAAAACAAAAAAACAAACAATAATTGGTCCTTTTTGTTAAACACTCTCTAGTTTTTTAGAGAGCAGAGGAAGTACTGTCAAAAATCACGTCTCTTTGAAAAGTGCATGCTCATATTAATCACAAAAATGTCCGTATGAGCATTATGAGTCTTTATGAGTCGGAGTTGCAGTAATTGAGGAAAGCCATCATGAACCCGTCTCCACTGAGTCTAAGGCATCCATCCTGCTGTGGTTCAGGCTGTCGTTGAGGTCGGTTCTTCTAGTACGGATATTGCTTTTGTTTCTTCCCTGCGAAACAAGCGAGCCAAGTGCACAGCAACATGGCGGTGGCGCCGCCCGCCCCGGTGCAGTAATATGCCCAGCCAATCTGACAAGAGCCTGAAGACAAGACCGAGACAAAGAGTGTGGGCATTAGTGAACTTCTGAAAGCTTCAAATGACAAAGACTGAAGGGATCATATGTGTGATGGATGATGCTTATTAAGAAATGGTGTAGAGAAGTATGGTACAAAGTTGTAAAATTTGGCACAGTGATTCAGAGATTGTTAATATCCTTGTTCGACTTCATGCAACTCTGCGCAGACCGATCGGCGGCTGACTTGAAACAGTGCATGCCGGTTAGAAATTTTGTCCGACTTGATGCAGCGCTGACTCCACGTGACTGTGATGTATGCCATCAAAGTACCGCGAGAGCGATACGAGAGTAGCCGCAGGCAGGGGCGTGGTAGTGGGGGGAAAAGTGGACCTGACTACCCAGGGCCCCGTCTAGGGAGAGGGCCCTTTAAAATCCCACCAATTTTAAAAAAAATTTTTTTTAAACCTAATTAGAATTAATTGGGCCCTCCAATTGATGTCATTAATAATAATTTTTAAAAAAATATTGACCAAAATGAACTCAGTGCCAGACACTCTGGACCCCCTTCCAAATGGTTTAGTCCGCAACGCGTCGACCGCCCATAGACGCAGCGGGCGGCAAACAAGTAATAACGCAGTGAGCCTAGAGCCTGTAACGGGAGCCTGATCTGATCATGCTGTGCAAAAAGCCCAAATCGGGCTTTAAAAAAAAGAAAGAGAGGAAAGAAAAAGATAGGAGGCAGAATGCGGGGAAGCAGCTGATGACTGCTTTCTTCCCAAAAGGTGAACTGAGTTTGCTATATGCAATCCAATAAAGTTAACGTAACTTAGTCAACTCCAGACAGCTGCTGCTAATGCAGGGTTCCAGACTGCGACCAAATTGGTCTCATATGCGACCATTTTTTTGAGAATTTGATTGTGCGAGTTAAAATTGTATGTGGTCGCGTCGCATATATACGAGTGGACGCTCGCGCAAAAGAACACCGACCGTTGTATCAGCTGCTGCAGACTGCAGTCCGTAACTTATGTTCAAATCGAACGAGTAGGCTACATCATGAACCCATTTTCCAAACCGTGTTTTTGACTTATCCTGAATCACTACGCCTGTTATAAGTGTTTATATTCGGACTATTTTTTTATCCCGGATTCCCGGGGTTGACTCGGATGCGAAGTTGCCCAGTGACTGCGTGACTCGCCATAGACATTAATGGAGAGAAGTAGCTCCGGCAACAGTGTTCTTCCGCAAGACACATAGACGTCACGCGCGCATTGCACACTGATGGTGGAACACGCCAATTACGAATTCATGAATAAAAATATAAAAATGAAAATGTCTCAGGAAACAAATTATTACAAAATGCAGGAGGAAGGAGTGTGAGATTTCTGATTTTTGAACTAACTTATAAAATTTGATAACGAAAAATCTGTTTTAGCTTGTTGTAATACTCTAATCTTTTAAAATGTAATGTACATTTGAATGTTTAATGATTTTTAAAAGATAGAAATATGATGCTAATAGAAAAATGACAGACACAGAAGATTATGATTCAAATGTAAATAGATAGATTGAATGTAATTCAAATGTAAAATTCTTAAAATTACAGATTAAAATTACTGTCCAAAATCCATGAAAATCCTGAAATTTGGCAATGATAATTAATATATTACAGGTATTTATGGTAAGCCTTTGCTGGCTTTGGTCCATTAAAACCACTATTCATCGGCATGCATTGATTAATCCCATGGCATGTAGCAAAAAAAATAAAAAATAACCGCGACGAAATCAAATGAGAAAGTTGGTGGCATCAGTTTAACCTGGTTTCTGAGGGTACAGTTGTCTCTCGTGTTCTTGTGTTCTCCTATTTAAAAATAAATGTTTTTCATTTAAAACTTGCATCAGTATCATGGATCAAAATGTTAGTACACAAAACCGATGTAGCCTAAGGTTTAAAGGTATTTGAGCACAAGTAGGCCAAATGCATCAATTCAGGTGGTGAATGAAAGAACCAGTCATTACTATAATCTGATTTTATTATTTAAACACTGTTTATATTTGTTTATATTCAAATAATTAAAAAAATACATTTCATTCAAAATTGAATTTTCACTTTGCTAACCCGCATCGTACAATGCCATGTGTATAGGGGGCCCATTGACATTGAGAGTGTACAGGGCCCAGAATTTGGTGCTACGCCCCTGGCCGCAGGACTCAGCCAGCGGAGCTTCTCAAGAGCAGCTGCACGAGCTCTGATGATGTCACAGCTGTTCCACGATTCGCCGGATTCAACGCATGACAACGATCACGTGCGTTTCGTGTTTATTCTCACACATTTAGTTCCACTAAAACTCACAAATCAGTTTTCTATAACAGTAAACAGTCTTTTCATGTAGTCGCGATGTTATATTGTGTCATGTTTATCATGTTTATCAAAATAAAACTGATTAAAAAACGTTGACTCCACGTCATTGATTATAGGCTTATTTTGAAATGTATTCTAGTTCAAACAGATGCTGTATGAAGCAGTAAAGTGTTGAATGAAAATGTGTCTGAAATATCTGTTTATTTTGCAAATGTTGCATTTATTTCACTTAAGCTGTGGTTAAGCATGCAAACACCCAGCCCATTCTCACTCCCAAGGCGTCACCTAACTGACGCCTTGAGAAGCATTTGGACATGCTTCAATATCTGACGCTTTAGGCGCCCTTTAGCATCAGTTAGATGACGCCCTAGGATCGCGTGTACCCTATCCCCACCCCACACCTAAACCTAACCGCGTCCTCTAACAGACGCTTTCCTTTAGCGTCAGTTAGATGACGCCGTAGGATCGCGTCATGTAAGTGACGCTAAAGGGCGCCTAAAACGTCAAATATTGAAGCATGGTCAAAGGTGACGCCTTGGGGTGAGAATGCGTTGAAACACCACGTGAGCCGTCAGTACGGGAACCAGAAATTGTCCGACTTCACGTCTCCGTTTGCAGCTCCTCCCCGCCTGCACTAGATTCGTATCTATTCTCACCGATCGGTTGCATCCAGCCGCAGGCGATGTCGAACACACCTATTACTTTAAACGTCAACAAGAAGTCACGTCACCCGACATCGCTTAGAGCACCTTTAAATGTAGCTCAAATTTTAGTGATTTATTTTATTTGTTTGTTTTTTTGCTTTTTTTTTGTCTTCAAGAGCCGCTTGTTTGTATGCGCGTGTAAGATAAGAGCTGGTTGGATCGTTCGAGGAAGCTGAACATGCATTTTATGTTGCATTTGTGGTAAGAAGCTCTGTTCTTGCTTGATTTTCTCCCAAGGGATAAAAATCTAGCATTTGCACAAAGCGTGTTTTCCGCTTGAGAAAGTTAGAGGAACTCATGTCGATGCATTCTCAGTTAGGGCTCTGTTATTGCTTGAATAGATACGAATCTAGTGTTTTCATGGAGTGCGTTCAGCTCTCGAAGAAGGTGGAGGAACTCTTGTCAATGCATTCTCAGTAAGGGCTCTGTATTGCTTGATTTTACTCTAGAGAGATAAGAATCTAGCACTTGCGCAGAGCGCGTTTAGATCTCAAGGATGCTGAATGCATTTATTGTGAATGCATTCACTGTGGGAAGCTCCACCCATGGCAAGGCAATGCAAGGTAAGGCAAGGCTATATTCTTCACAACAAGATTTTCCCTTGGTGATTACACTGTGCCTGTGGTGTTCTTCGGATGTCTCCGATGGACCTGATTTTTCCCTAAAATCGGACAGGAGGAGCTCAAGGACTGACTCGCGAGGTAACCCATGCTTGACTCTCTCTTGAGGGATGAGAGTCGAGCATCTGCACCTCGCAGGACCACCAAGGACGGTAAGGATCAATCATTGGGATTGTAGACGGAGCATAGGGAGGAGACTAAAGGTAGTCTTTCCTTTTGGGCTTCTCCTGGTATGTTTTTTTCATGTCGTTTCAGGATGCTGCTCTGTAACTGATTGCGACCTGACTGATTTAATGTACTGTAGTATGTCTAATTCTGAGGAATAAGATGCAGAGAGAGTTGAGGCAGGTTTTGTTAATAATCCGCCTCCTCCCCTGTAACTGAATGCGCTCACTGTGAGGTGCTGTGGTGAGGGAGCTCCCCTCTCAATTGAGTTTATTCTTGTAGGATGAAAGTCAAGTGTTTGCTCCTCGCGGTTCAGGCCCCATGTCTGCTGAATCAGCACGTCAGAATGTGGGGTCATAGGTGGGCAAAGTAGAGGTGGATGTTATAAAATAAATCTGTCTCCTCTGCTTAATACCATGGGGTTCATGGCAAGGCATATGTGGAGGCAAGATAGACCCTTTGAAATCCAGGCCTGTGAAACACCATGAAATCCGCCAACGGGACTTAGGATAAACTCTATTATTTCCTGCTCTCATTTGCCTCCCTTTCCTAAAGTAAAGAGTAAGGGTGTACGCTACCCCTTGGATGAGTGGCAATACCGAAGGGAGGTGCTAATTACTGAGGTTTTTACCACCTTGCACGGTCACTTTAGTAGGCCGCTCGACTACAATGGGAAATTCACAAAAGTCCACAAAAGGAGTAAGTTTTGCTAACCTCCCTACCCAACTGTTGTTGGGTCTGGAAGAAGGGATATATGCTCCCATTTGGTGAAGTGCTTATATAGGGATGATCAGTGTTACAAACCAATGAGTAGAGGTGGATAACTAATGGTGTCCCCCCTTATCAGTGTAGCAGTAGTTCTATAGTTTAACCATTAACTATAGTGAGTCCTGGAGAAGTGCCTTTACTCAAGTCAGGGTATGAGCTATTCTCCCCTAATCACTAATCACTAGGGTCATTCAAATTTAGTTGATCCTCCCATGCGGTAGGCTGCTACCCAAGAGCACTGTCAAATACTGCTAAGGTATGCCAGACATAGCTGAGGCAATGTTTACATTTACATTTATTCATTTAGCTGACCCTTTTATCCAAAGCGACTTACAATTGCTATATTTGTCAGAGATCGCACGCCTCTGGAGCAACTAGGGGTTAAGTGTCTTGCTCAAGTGTCTTGTCTCACAGTGGATTCGAACCCGGGTCTCTCACACCAAATGCATGTGTCTTATCCACTACGCCATCACCACCCAATGTTGAGTATTTTCCTTTTAGAGCCCTGCTCTTGAGGCCATATTGGGCTGAGGCATGTCCCGCAAGGGAGAGAGAGGAAGGTCCCTTGCTGTTGAGCATAGTAGCTTTCCTACTGGGGATCTTTCCTTGTATATTGGCTCAGGGATCAGTGCTACTATATGAGTCACATGGGCACTGACAGATTTTTGTCTCTGGCTGGGTAGTCGGTAAAGTGAATTCATGCTATGCCCTCTATGTTTGTGCATATTCACTAGGGGTGTAACGGTACATGTATTCGTATTGAACCGTTTCAGTTCGAGGCTTCCGGCTCGGTACGCATACAAACCGAACGATTGCTTGGACCATTTTTCCTGCCGGCAAAATTCGTGCTGACGCGGCCAACACAACGTTGTGCAACATCCAAATGGCAAGCGTAATGAAAGCAGAACGAAACTGCGCTACTCGTTATGTGTTTCACGGATCGTTTATCAGTTCGGACCAGCAACATCTGTGCAGCGTGAGCCGATCTCGATCAAGCAACACTGTTAACACACAGCGCTAAGAGATCCAGTTAAGAAAACATTTGAATTCGCCACTGAGGTAATAACATCGCTGCGAGATCTAGTGAGATGCATTCACATTTCTCCGTTATTAACCGTAGATCTCTATTAGATCAAACAGCGCTGTCATGGAAACCAGGAGAAACATTGTGCCGTGAATGAACTAGTACTTTACGTCCACAGACCAGCAACATTCACCATGGATTTAATATAGTAACACTAACTGGAACCAGTTTGGCTGGAATGGTGAAATGCTTTCAAGTACTTCACACATCTTTTTCCAGCACTTCAAAATTCAAATATTATATACATAAATATATATTTAAATGTTATTTTTAATGTGATGACCAAAACATTATTTGTTCATCCTTCAAAGATGACCCCCATTTATAAACCTGAAAGTTTCAAGATCTAGGAAAACTCACACTTATTTAAAAATATTTTTTCTTTAAACAAATAGGAAATTTCTCTGTCATTTCTTTCTTTTTGCTGTATTGAAAACGTACCGAACCGTGACTTTAAAACCAAGGTACGTACCGAACCGTGATTTTTGTGTACCGTTACACCCCTAATATTCACAGTCTAGTGAGGCAGGCATTAATGGTAAATGGACTGCATTTATATAACGCTTTCACAGACCCAATGGCCACCAAAGCGCTTTGCCTCACATTCACCCATTCACTCACTCATTCACACACTGACGGCGGTCTCAGCCATGCAAGGCGCCATCCAGCTTGTCGGGGAGCAGCTGGGGTTAGGTGTCTTGCTCACTTGGTCAGGTCGAACCAGGGATTGAACCACCAACCTTCTGGTTTGTAGACAACCTACATGAACCACTAAGCCCACTAATAGTGGGTATTGGTTCCCCATAGCGCCAATACTAGATGCAGCAGTGAATTTCCACTTTAAAAGGAAACGTTTTACACCGTGTCCCAACCAGATGTGATGCGATTCCAGCGACGAGCGATTTTTCTGTCCACACCAGACGTGACGCGACTACGAGATTTGACAAAATGACTCAAAAACCACAGTCAATCAGAACAGAAGGGTTACTAACACAATCTTTGTCATAGAATACACTTGTTTGTTCACAGTTTGAACGTTCTTATTTCCATTCGTTTAATTTCAAGATCTGAGGTGAATCCATTGTTGCTTTTCGAACGACTACAAAGCTGGGAGCACTAAATGATATTCAAAGTCGCAATACATGCTTATAACATTAAATAAAGTACATAAACATTACCTGAGAGGACCATTGCCATACTCTGTGTTGATGTTCGACCCGCAATGTCGCAGGAAAATAGAAACCGCTTCTAAAATAGAATCGTTGTGTGAATCAGTCACGTCTGGTTAGGACAAAACCTCTAATCGTGTATCGCAGTGTAGCATCTGGTTAGGACACGTTGTTAGGTTGCAACCCGGTTCCATGAGAAGGGGAACAGGATGCTGCATCTTATTGCAACACCTCGGGCCTGCATGCACGTCTTCCCTCAGATAAAAGTTGACGATGCGTAACTCAGCCGCCCTTTTATACTCATAACTCATCCTCAGACACTGGTCTTGTGATGGTGTTCCCCATTCCATCACTATAAAACACAGCATCTTCTTCCCCTTCTCAGGGAACCGGGTTGCAAGACATCTTAGTTTTTAGTTTTAATTTAGTTTATTTTAGTACTTCAACAACTTAATCTAAAGGATATGAGAAATGTTCCCTTGGCAACTAGCTGAACTTTTTAAAAATATTTTATTTCAAGTATAAGGGAATTTTTTTTTTTTTTTTTTTACATGGTTTTAGTTTTAGTCTATTAAAAAAAGTACATCTAGGACCAACATATAAAGTTTTTAGCATTCATGCCAAAGTAAAATGAATGTAGCTTCTAAAACCAGTGAAGTGTTGAATATTTTATCAGTACAAATGAAGCTGCTAATTAAAGGCAGAAAAACAGTGGCATCAAAATGATGATTAATTACATAAAATGGAGAGTGCCATGCAGTTATTTGCATTTATATAAGTTCAAGGGCATTCACGCTAAACATAGCATCAGACCGATGGGAATAAAACAGACTACGGCAGCTTTGTGGATCAGCAGGCAATTCAAATTACAAAATGAACAGAAAAGACCAGATTCTATAACTTAAAAGAAATGAAGACAGAAAGCAAGACCCTGAGGCATTCATTAAGGACTGTTACAGGTTACCTAGGTACATCAAAGGACCAAAACCTCATTTATCTCATTTAAAGCAACACTCATAGGGAGACAGACAAAACTTCTGGGCCACATTTGTCGGTTGCCCCATTGCGGCAAATATTTCAAACAATTTTGACGCATTTGCCCTTTGCTTTCATATCATGTGCTGCCTTTAAAATGGTAAAACTCCCCAGAGTGAGAGCAGACAACCTCAGGAAATATTCTCAATATAACTCAATCTTTTGAGCCAGACCCACTTGATGTTACACTATAATGCAGCTTCTTACTTTGAAATCATGCAGCCACTCTTCATTTCACTCTTAATAGCTGTTGCAATAGCAACTCCATATTGTTTTTTTATTATGAAAAATATTCCTTCTGACAAACAGCCGAGGTCTGGGAGTTTCTTAATGCAGACACAGTCTGTCATTTGTATCATAGTTCGGGCGCTGAATGCTAAACAAGCTCTCTACAAGTCTGTGTACTTGAATCAACGGTCATTTGCACTCTATCCTTTTCATGTTCCCAGTCTCAAGGTGACTCATAGTTTATTGCAACATGTAGTGTTGTTGAATTGCTCTAACTATCGCTCATACTTTGAACGTGAATGATCGCTCAAAACTATGCGGCTTGTTGAAGAGAGCTCTGCTGCTACTGTTTAAAGCCATTGAATGCACAATTTTAATCTGATGGATGATAAATCTGGCAGCACATTTTTGAGTGAACTATACCTTGTGAAAAAGAATTGCACTTAATTAAATATCTAATTTGCATTTGTAGTGTAGGCCTACTTCAAATGTTTTATTAATTTAGTCACATTTTATTTGTATTTTAAGTATATATTAAAAAAAATCTAACAGATAATTTAATGTGAGTTAAATAAAAGGCCACTTAAGCGTACTTTAAGAGAGTACACTTTCAAGACTGTTCCTTAACCCTCTTAAGTACGCTTTTAAAAAGTATACTTAAAAACTTTACTTTCAAATGCATTTTAAAACTATGGCCTGGTTTCACAGAGAGGGCTTAGATTAAGCCAGTATTAGGCCTTAGTTCAATTGAGACATTTAAGTAGCTTTCAAAAACGTGCCTTAGAAAAAACGTTACCGCTGTGCATCTTGAGATAAAACAATGAAACTGACATATTTTAAAATATCTCAGTGTAAGTTGTGTTCAGTTAAAATAGCTCAAACATGCATTGTACTCTAGGACTAGGCTTAAGCCTTGACCGTGAAACCGAGGAATTATGTTCTAAAATAATATTTTGTCATGCTTATAAGTACACTTATTTTAATAAGTTGAACATACTAAAGCACATGTAAATTACTTGATTAACAATTTAAACAATTTAAAGTATACTTTAACCATGTTTCAAAGCCAATAGAAGTAATTGTAAAATGTACTACTTAAGTTGTAGTTGGCAAAAAAGAACTCTAAATGTATATACTGCAGTTAGTTGAACTTTAAACTAATAGATTTCAATTTTATTGCAGTATAGTATGCAGTTAACAACATTACATGTAGTCTGCACTTTTAAAGTGTATTCTTTCTTTTTTACAAGGGATCTCTTTAAGCAAGGTCAATTTTTGGACATAATGTATTAATAGTTCAATGCTATCACTGTGTAAATAATGTAGATGTATCACAGTGAAGGTGACATGAGGACGTACCAAGTTCAAACTGATCTGAGCTGTTGTTACATGTCTGTCGGACCTCCTCACTGTCCCACCCGAGAGGATACAGAGCACAGCCTGAACCGATGAGCAGACCTGCAGAAACAGACACAACAAGACATGAATGACGTTACTCATGTCATGTATAATAGACTAAACACATGCACACAATCATTAGTGGCATTTGCTATAAGCACACAATTTGCTAAGGTTTTTCAAAGTACCAGACGTAAGTATTACATTTTAATCACACAGTTGTGATACCTCAAATCAAAAGACATGTGCTAATCATTTCCTAAGTGATGCAGACTTACAAAAAAATCCCATTGACTTAAAGTAAGCAATACAATATACAAATACAATAAAATAACAAAAGTAAATGACCAAAACACATGTGACAAATTTAGCTTCAATATTTGACCTATCAGCACGGATAAAACTGTGGCATTTACCTCTGACATCCATTCTAATGTGTAAAGTCCATACACTGACCACATCTACCCACCCAAGACCACATCCCAATGTGCTTGGTTCGTTTTTTTCTTTTGCGACTACATCAACAACTACCGTACTGCGGTCATCTCCTGCACATCCATTTTTGTTCCATCTGTTATGCTATGAGGCAATTGTGAGTTTTTTATGTTCAGAAAGATTTGAAAATCTGATAATGTTTAGGGTATGGAACCTAGTGTATGATGTCTAGTGTAGTGCATTTCGAGATTAAAGTCGAAAAATTCAGAGATTAAAGTCGAAAAATTTCGAGATTAAAGTCAAAACAATTCGAGATTAAAGTCAAAACATTTCGAGATTAAAGTCGAAACAATTCGAGAGTGAAGTAAAAAAATTCAGAGATTAAAGTCGAAACATTTTGAGATTAAAGTCGAAACAATTCGAGATTAAAGTCGAAAAATTCTGAGATTAAAGTCGAAACGTTTCGAGATTAAAGTCGAAACATTTCGAGATTAAAGTCGAAACATTTCGAGATTAAAGTCGAAACAATTCGAGATTAAAGTCGAAACAATTGGAGATTAAAGTCGAAACAATTGGAGATTAAAGTCGAAACATTTCGATATTAAAGTCGAAACATTTCGTGATTAAAGTCGAAACAATTTTGAGATTACAGTTGAAATACTTCGAGATGCAAGTCGAAACATTTCGAGATTAAAGTTGAAACAATTCGAGATTAAAGTCGAAACATTTCGAGATTAAAGTCGAAACAGTTCGAGATTAAAGTCGAAACAATTCGAGATTAAAGTCGAAACATTTCGAGATTAAAGTCGAAACAATTCGAGATTAAAGTCGAAACATTTCGAGATTAAAGTGGAAACAATTCGAGATTAAAGTCGAAACATTTCGATATTAAAGTCGAAACATTTCGAGATTAAAGTCGAAACAATTTTGAGATTACAGTTGAAATACTTCGAGATGCAAGTCGAAACATTTCGAGATTAAAGTCGAAACATTTCGAGATTAAAGTCGAAACATTTCGAGATTAAAGTCGAAACAATTCGAGATTAAAGTCGAAAAATTCCGAGATTAAAGTCGAAACATTTCGAGATTAAAGTCGAAACATTTCGAGATGACAGTCGAAATAATTCGAGATTAAAGTCGAAACATTTAGGCTACGTTCACACTGCAGGCTGAAACGACCTAATTCCGATTTTTTTGCCCCTATGCGACCTGTATCTGATTTTTTCATGACAGTCTGAATGACACAGATCCGATCTTTTCAAATGCGACCCAGGCCACTTGGGTATGTGGTCCAAATCCGATATGTATCCGATCTTTTGAAATGCGACTTCAGTCTGAACGGCCAGGTCACATATATCCGACCCGCACGTTATTGCACGCACCTGTAGCCAGCCAATACACGCTAACTCCAACACGTTTCTGCACTGTTATGGGCCACTGCAGACGTGTCTCTTCCCCAGTGTTGTGCCTTCAATGAACGATAGTGCATGAACGCGTTCATATACTGTATTACTGCCTGATGAGCATTACTGTGAACACGTTCATTCTGGTGTCTGTGAACGTGCGCTCTCTGTCAGTTTAACTTCTTACAGTAGGGTGCCAGATTTCCATAGAACCTTCCAGGCGAAAACCTGGCTAAAACACATGTAAACATGCCTTAAAATGTAGCGAAAAAACACCCAATCTGGCAACACCAGCCACCAGTGTCACACCGCGGCCGCCGGTGACAAAGCCAGCGCCGAGGACGCACACTATCAATTAAACGACGAGGTCGGTGAGGATCGGAAAAATTTTACATTTATGTGCAAACTTTGCCCGTCGATAAAATAATTATTGTCTGTGTTTGTATATGGGCTGTGGCAATAATAATAATAAAACAAAAGCTCGCAACAATATGGAAAAAAAGAACTATTCCGCAAACAACAAGTGACCGTTGATTACTCTTCTGCGCATGCGGGTCACTTCTGGGTCATTTCACGTTCACACAGGAGATCACAAAAGGTCGCATTTAATTGGAAATGTGAACGACCTTGCAAAAAAATCGAATTTTTAAAAAAAATCGGAATTGAGCATTAAGCCCTGCAGTGTGAACGTAGTCTTAGAGATTAAAGTCGAAACATTTCGAGATTAAAGTCGAAAAAATTTTGAGATTAAAGTCGAAATATTTTTGAGATGAAAGTCGAAACATTTCGAAATTAAAGTCGCAACAATTCGAGATTAAAGTTGAAAAATTTCAAGATTAAAATCGAAACATTTCGAGATTAAAGTCGCAACATTTCGAGATTAAAGTTGAAACATTTCGAGATTAAAGTCGAAACATTTCGAAATTAAAGTCACAACAATTCGAGATTAAAGTTGAAACATTTCAAGATTAAAGTAGAAACATTTCGAGATTAAAGTCGCAACATTTCATGATTTACGTTGAAACATTTCGAGAGACGAGAGTACGAGAATACAGTTTTCCGTAGAAGCTGCGCATGTGTGCTTGCCATTCATAATGGCCAATAGCGAGTTTCACACTGTGTGTGTGTGTGTGTGTGTGTGTTTTGTTTCATCAAAGGAAATTCAACAGGTGCCAATCTACCAGCATTAGGCTACCATTATAGGACGTTATAAAATATACAGCGCCGGAATAGACTTTAGTCTATAGAAAAACCAACACGGAAAACACTTTTCAGACTGGATGGAGAAATCCAGCTTTATGAATGAATGAATGAATGGGGCATTTATATAGCGCTTTCATATGTCTAGGCCTACACTCAAAGCACTTTACAATCATATCAGAGAATCTCTCCTCAACCACCATTAGTGGATATTAAATCTTAGGAAATCACAGGATCCGGCCAAATGATTGGATACAGAATGATGCTTTTAAAATGTATCCAGAACGTATTTACGGTGAAGAGACAGAACGGTTACTGTTGAGTTCTCGATCCAGATAGTGTTGACTAGACAAGCATAAAAACACCTCAGAAACTCTGCCACTTGCACGTGTGTAGAACGTGCGCCCTGAGCCAGTGGACGTGCACTTTTATGAATGCACACACTTCTATGTAAGACTGTATTATCGTATTTGACTTTAGTCTTGAAATATTTCGACTTTAATCTCGAAATGCTAGAGATTTTTTTTTATGTTGCGGTTCAGGGCTTCCGTATATTCCAGCCTTTGGTGACAAAATAAATAAATAAATCATCCTACAAGTATCACACCAAAAATGGACTGGGGTCAGTTGAACCCCTGCTGAAACTATGGGCCGAGGCCTGGTCCCCAGTGCCACAGGAAGATAGTGCCACTTTTTCCCAAATTTCATGAGCCGGGGTCTTGACACAGAGTTCCCCAAAATTCAGCAGCTCTGTCTCTGGATAGATACTGGCCCGCAGGTCTTCTGCTAAGGGGGTTCTCTATCACATTAGCTTAATCCTTTTCAATTCGCCCCTCACATGCCTATCAGTTTTAGTGAGGCAGGAGAGAGAGAGAAAGAGAGAGAGAGAGAGAGGCGTGATGATTAACCCCCATCACACCACACACACTTACTGCGGTGGGCTGAGATAACAGACAGTAATTCATCTATGCTGTACACAGTTTGAGCGAGGTGAGAGATGTCCTTACACACACACACACACAAACACAAGCACACCGATAATCAAATTCTCTGTGCTGCTCATTTTTAATATGTGTTCAGACGTTGAGATATTAATCAGGACTTGAGAAAGGAAATCATAAAAGCCCACCGGAATGTATATTAAGATATCATCACAATGTGCTTTGACATTTGGAGGTGCAAATTATTAATGTCTCATTGATGCCTCTGTTTTTTAAAGACAAGGCTCTAAATGAAACTACTTCACACCCTCAAAAATGTATAAGTTGCAAGATAAAGATGACAGCTTCTCATACTCTTGATTTAATCTCAAAGCAGTTTTATATGGCTCGTAATACCTTTGTAAATGTAGCAGACCTACTGATGCACGATATTTTTGACAAAAATATAGCTCATACTTTTGATGAATGATGCATAAAATCATGCAACTTGAGAAGAACGATAAAACTGGCAATTCAAAATATAGAGGGATCAAAAGCTTGACATTTTTTTTATACATTTATTTTATTTTATATGTCTGTGTAGTTTTTAATAATTTTACTTTTCATTTTATTTTTAGTTGTTAGTCATTTTAGTACCAGCTAAACTAAATGAAAATGAGAAGAGTGGACTTGGCAACTAACTGAAGGTTTTAATTTATTACAACATGTTTTTGATATTTACACCTGTTCACAATGCTCTTTTGTGTCAAATCTGCGAAGAACAGATACAGTTGCTTCACATCATATTTATATGAATATATATATATATATATATATATATATATATATATACAACATTTTTTTTATTATTTTTTATATATATATATCTTGTATATGTATTTCAAAGACCAATAAAGCTTTGGTTATGTGGCTATACAATTTAATAGTCTTTCCTTCACTATAGTGACATATATCTGAGTGAAACTGTCATTATCAAACGGCTTCTCGAACAAGAACAAATGTAGGGCGGGACTTGATTTTGTCCGTTGAGAACTGATTGGATGGTTGGGATTTGCTATTGGTGGATGTGAGTGACAGGTGG